TCCACATCCCCCCACCATTTCTGTCAGCTACAAACGCTAAAAATACCGCACCCCACCCCCACTGGTCTGCACCCTGGCCTTTGGAAATCAGAGCCTCCCAGTGGAGGGTCCCATTTCTCTGTCTCAGGAAGCCACTCCTCACAGACTGGTCCTCTTCCTGCGGGTCCCAGTGCAGCCCTCACATTCCCATGCAGACCAGTCCCCACCGCGCCGGTCTCGGCTGGCTGGTGGGGCAAGGTGCGGGCCCTGGGGCGGTGGGCAGGGGCTGGGCCCTGGGGGACAGGGTGCAGGCCCTGGGGGGGTAGGCAGGGGATGGACCCTGGGAAGGCAGGTTGCAGGTCTGATACATGACATGCAGTAGGGGGCAATGCGGTCACATGGACCCTTGGATGTGGGGGAGGCAGGGCACCAGAAACGGCCGCCCGTGGGGACTGACCCTGCACCTCCCCCAGGGTGTCACGTGGGGAGATGCTCAGAGCCGCAGGGCCACCGGGGTCTGGTCACTGCAGCCTCGGAGGAGCCGGTGCCGTGGGGACCACATCCCGGGGCCAGGCCTCTCGCCGGTTCCATGATCGATCAGCCACTAAAGCCACAGACTCAGGTGCGCGGACGGCATGTATTAACCACAGACTCAGGTGCGCAGATAGCGTGTATTAACCAGGTCGGTTGAGAGGTGAGGCCCGTCACAGTGACTCGGGTTTGGGTCCCTAGAGCCTAGGCCGTCCTGGCCAATGGCCGTCCCCACGAGGCAGGGTCTCCAGTGAGAAGGCCCTGCTCTGGGTCAGGATGGCTCAGGGCAGTGACCTCACCCCGGCAGGGGTGGGGCGGAGGTCAGGGCAGAGTGCAAAGGCCACCCTGAGCCAGCAGAGATGCTGGGACATCAGGGGGCAGAGGGGCGGGAGGGGAAGGGGGAGCTGAGGGATAGGACAGAGGGTACAGGCCAGGAGGGTGGGCACAGGCCAGGTGCTCCCTGGGGTCCAGCCCCACGAGGACAAGGCCGGGGTGGGCTCCTGCAGGGCCCTGCTGGCCACCACCTGGTCCGGCCACCCCCTCCCCATGCCCCACCCGCCCCCAGGCAGAAGCTGATGAGACACAGGGTGTGTGCATGTGTGTGTGTGTGTGTAGATCCGGGGCCCAGGAGTGGCCTTGGCCCTGAGCTGGCCAGTGGCTGCAGCAGGAGGTGGCCCACTCCTGGCCCAGCAGCAGGTGGGGGTTTGGGATTGGACTGCCGTGGGGAGTGGGGGCCCGCTGGGGGGCCAGGCTGAGGCGCCTGGTCTCCTGGGAGGGGGTTCCAGCAGCGGGCCTGTCCCCGCACACAGACAGCTCTTTGTCAGGGCCCAGCCCCCTCCGCCCGCAGCCTCGGGCACAAAGCCGCTCTGTCCACGGTGGCCTTCCCCTCACCCGGCCAGTGCCCCCCCAGCTCCCATGCGCCCCCACAGACACGAGGCCCAGGTGGAAGGGCAGCCGGGATGAGGGACAGTGGACAGCCAGGGGGCGCCCAGGGCAATGCCTGTCCCCAGAGCCTGGCACCACGCGGGCCACAGGCCATACTAGTCGCTCCAACACCCGCTCTGCTGCCCCCACTGCCCAGGGTCCCTCCCGCTCCGGTCCCCGGTCAGGGACCTGGGAGGGCGGCAGAGGGACGGTGTTGGCCGGCCCCGCAGGGCGGTCTCCGCACGTACTCTGCATCCTCGCTCGACCCACAGAGCCCACAGCCACCGCTCCACCGTGTCCGACCCGGTGGGGGGCCCATGCCGCTCTCACTCCTGGTGGCTGAGGGGCTGAGCTCCATCCAAGCAGGAGGGGCCGGGCCCGGAGCCCAGGGCGCTGTTTCTCCGGGACCCGCCGGCCGCCCCGTGGACTCTGCCCGAGGCCAGGCTCAGCGTCCGGGCGGCGGGATCCAGAGGAGGCCGGGCAGGGCTCCCGCCAGCCTGGCCAGCTGCTGCCGGCACTGCGCCTGGAGCTGGTGCAGCGCCGCCTCCAGGCAGGCCTCCCGGCTCCTCAGCGCCCCGATCGCCTCGGCAGCACGCAGGCCCGGGGCCCCCGGCCCCCCGGCCTCAGTCCTCACCAGCCGGAGGGGCCCGTGGGGCTGGGGGCCCCCGCCTCGCTCCCAGGCCTGGCGCAGGGCGGCTAGCTCCCGGCCCACCGCCTCCCTCGCGGCCTCCTGTGCGGCCTGTCGCGCGGCGCTCCACTCCGGCCCCTGGCCTTTGACCTGCAACGGGAGACGCCGGTGATCCCGTGACCCGAGGGCCACGAGCAGCCATGGGCCCCGGACACTGGCTCCAGGGCCCTCGCTTCATTGGGCCTGGCACCCCCACGGGCCCACAGCCCATGGCTCCCAGGGAGCAAGGCCAACCCTGCCCCAGCTCTGCACACACCCCCTCCCCCACACCCTGAGCAGCAGCCGTGGGCTCAGCTTGAACCCCCAATCCTGCAGGACCCACGCCCTCAGAACCACCAGCTGCAGGCCCACCTCGCTCTCGGGGTGAGCTTGGGGGGCACGACTTGGGGTCCATTTAGATCCCAGCGTTCATACCCCCAGGAAGGACACGCACCCCTGGGACTCCCACCCCAGCCCCACGTGCCCCTCCAGGCAGCCCAGCCGCCCAGCCTGATCCCAGGCCGGGAGGGGGGATGGGACTGGACCGAGGGACACGGGACTGAGGGTGCAGCCAGCTGAGCCACCGGGCTGGCGGGCAGGCCTCACCCATGTCCCCAGGGAATCCCCTGGCCCCAACCCCCGGGGGTTCCCAACAGGAAAGTACCAAGGGCCCTGAGCCGGGACAAGTGCCAGCCTTTCCTTGTACACAACCCCCTGAAGCTCTGGCCGGGTGGCTCAGTGGATAGAGCGTCGGCCTGCGGACTGAAGGATGGCAGTCAAGGGCATGTGCCTGGGTTGCAGGCTTGATCCCCAGTAGGGGGCGTGCTGTAGGCAGCCGATTGGTGATTCTCTCTCATCGTTGATGTTTCTCTCTCTCCCCCTCCTTTCCTCTCTGAAATCAATCAATAAAAATGTTTTGTTTTTTGTTTTTAATATATTTTATTGATGTTCCACAGAGAGGAAGGGAGAGGGGCAGAGAGCCAGAAATGTCGATGAGAGAGAAACATCGACCAGCTGCCCCCTGCACATCCCCCACTGGGGATATGCCCGCAACCAATGTACATGTCCTTGACCAGCATCAAACCTGGGACCCCTCAATCCGCAGACCGACGCTCCACCGGTTTCGGCAAAAATGTTTTTAAAAAGAGACAAAACCCTGCAGACAACAGCTGTCACCAACTTGGGGAGGGGGAGGAATGGGCACCTGAATAGCAGCAGGACGACCAGGCCCCGCCCTCCAGGCCACGCTGAGGACTTTGTGGGGGCACCACGCCCACAGTCCCAGGTGCCGGAGGGCCGCCTCTCCCTGCCCAGCAGCAGGTAAACGGGCCCCGGGATGGGAGCTGGCAGGACAGAGGCTCCGTGCACCCTCCCTTCTCCGTTGGAGTCTGACCCATGAGCACCCCAGCCACACTCCCATGAACCACGTGAATCCCACGTGGTCTGTGACCACATGCCGGCAGCCCTGCGCCCTCACCCTGGCCGCCCAGGCCGCCCGCCGGGCGCCCACTGCCGCCTGGAGCTCCTTCTGCAGCGCCTGCAGCTCCCACGCCACCGGGTCCCGTGCACCGGCCGTGCGCCCGCGCCCTCCGAGACCAGGCAGACACGCGGGCTGCGGGGCCTCCGTGGGGCAGGCCCCCAGCACCGTGTCCTGCAGAGGGAGACCCATGTGAGGGCGGCACCAGACCAGGCTACACATGGCCCAGGCCCAGCCACCAGCTGGGCAGCTCCCGCACCGTGGTCTGCCCAGTGCTCAGGTGGGCCTTGGCCTCCCCCAGAGCTGGCAGTGAGGGGACCACTGGACCCGTGGCAGGAGCCCGGACACAGCACTGCGGGCCCTCCCACTCCCCACACCCTGGTGGCTATGGTTCAGACCAGGGAGGGAGGGAGAAGGGAAGAAGGGACGGAGGGATGGAGGAGGGACGGAGGAAGAGGGGGAGACAGACGGGGGTCACAGGTCCTGACCATCCACTGCCAGAAGACCAGCTCCCGTCGCCGCCACTCCAGGGCGGCCTCCAGGCGGGCGTTCTCGCTCTCCAGCCTCGGCAGCAGCTGCAGCACAAAGAGGGGCCGAGTCAGAGCCCCAGGACCCCATCACCCGGCAGCGTGAGCCCGCGGTGCCCAGCCCCGTCCGCCCATCAGCCACACAGCAGCGTCCTCCGTCCTCCGCAGTCCTGCCCTGTCTGCCCCGCGGGATGGTCAGGGGTGGGAGAGGCGAAGGGCCTGCCGTCCCCTCACCAGCAGGGGGCGAGCTTGGAGGACAGAAACGGTCCCTCCCACGGCAGCCACCAGCCCCCTACCTGCCGGCCGCCCTCCGGGTCCCTGAGCAGCTCTGTCTCAGCAACAGACAGGTGGCCAAGGCGGCGGTCGCTGTGGCAGCCACGCGTGTACGTGTGGATCTGAAGGAGCAGAGAGCCGGGCTGAGCAGGCCCTCAGCACGTCTGACAGACGAGGGAGCGCGGGGCGCAGAGGGCAGAGGGCAGGGCTGTCCTCGCTGCGGGGACCGCACAGGCCTGAGCCTGCAGAGGGCGGGCCTGAGCAGCCCCCCACAGCCTCCCATCCCACCCAGCTCCGGCTACAGTGGGGTGCAGAGGGCACCTCTGCTCCCTTCCCCCCTCAGTGCGCCAAGAGCCAGGACCGTGTGGTAAGGACAACAGCCTGTGGACAGGATCAGTGTCCTGGGGGGCCGATGGTGGGACACGGAGAGCCTGCCTGGGCCTGGGGGACAGAGAGGGCTCTGCAGCCAGGCGAGGCCTGAAGGGGGCCGTGCCCCAGGCTGCAGGAGTGGCTGGAGCAAGGCCAGGCAAGAGGGAGTGAGGGGCCCCGGGGGCAGGCCGGCCAAGCCAAAGACCCCTGGCTGGGGGTGGCATGCAAGCTGGAGGGGTCCCTGACCTTTCAGCCCAGCCACCTCTCAGCCCGGCCACCTCTCGGCCCACACCTGGCCCTGGACCTTGGGGGGGGCGCACCTGTGTCCACTGGCTGAGCCCTATCAGCCTTCAAAAACCGACAGGAGCTGCCCCCCGCCCAGCCACCCACACCAGGACCCAGTGAGGAGGTGCCCAGGCAGTGACTCCCCACGCCCAGGGCCCGTCCCACTGCTCAGTGACACCGAACCGAGGCTTCTGGGGACAGAAAGGCCAAGGCCACAGCTCCTAGCCCCACAGGCTCCTGCCCCCTCCCCCCGCCCCCCGTCCCAGCCATGCTGGCTCCGCCCGCCCTCGGCCCCTCCTGGAGCAGCTAGAGCCCTAGGCTCAGGCTCCGGGCAGCTGCCAACCAGTGAGGCCCCAGCCAGGCCTGGAAGGTCCTCATCCAGCCAAAGGCCGAGCCCCCGGCCCACGCAGGGCCTGGAGGGACAGGCCATGGGCAGGGGAGGAGCTGGGCAGCTTGGAGTGGGAGGGTCACTGCCCACGTGGACAGTCCGTGGGGACCTACCTTGCCCAGGAGCGCGCACTGCTCCTGCTGACTGGCCATCAGGTTTCGCCACCGAAATCGCAGCTTCCCCATCAGCCACTGCAGGTGGCGGGCATCCACAGGGCCATCTGCTTCCAACCGCGGGGCAGGCAGGCCGGGGCTGGCCAGGGCCCCACACTGGAGGGGAAAGAGAAAGGAGGCCCCTGAGACTGAGCCGGGGGTCCCAGGTGCCAGGAGAGGTGCCAGGCCAGAGCCTGTGGGCACACACACCCTGTCCTGCAGGAGGGGGAGAGGCAGGGCCCGGGGCCGGACAGCACTGACCCCCACACTGCCCTGAGGGCTGCCCTGAGGGCAGGAGCAGGCCGAACCCCAGGCCTGGGCCACGGGAGGGACGGGCTCACCCCACCGCACTCTCACCTCAAACGCAGGCAGCTCGTCGCCCAGCCGCACGCGGGTCCGGGCCAGCAGCCGCTCCAGCAGGGGCTTGCGGGCCAGGAGCCAGGAAAGGGCCAGCAGCAGCTCGCGGCTGCCCTGGGAGCCATCGTCCGGGAGCTGAGCCAGCCGGAGCCGGGGGTAGCCCTGGGCGAGCAGCGCCGCCTTCACCCAGCGCGCCTGGGCCTCTGCGGGCAGAAGGCCAGCTCGGGGGCCGCCCCTGCAAGCGACAGCACCCCGGCCCCTAAGGGACCCCCCCTAAGGGATCCCCCGAAATCAGCCCCTGGATCCCTGGATGGATGGATGGATGGATGGGTGGATGGGTGGATGGGTGGGTGGGGCTTAGCCTGGATGAAGTGGGAGGGGCGGGTCTTACGGGCGGGCGGGACCGAGCCTATGAGGCGGAGCTAAGTTATGCTGGTGGGAGGGGCTTTGAGAGTGGGCGGGGCCACAGCCTAAGGGGTGAAAGCTTCCCCGAAAGCGGGTCCTACCGAGGGGGTGGGCGTGGGCAGGGGCCTGGGGGCGTGGTTTGTGGGCCGGGCCAACCCACCGGGCAGGGCTGGGGCGGGCTTACCCAGGGCGCGCGAGGCGGAGGCGCCGTCAGCCCGCGGCGGCGAGAGCACGCGGAAGAGCAGCCGCCATAGTGCGGGCGCCTGCGGGACAGAGGGGGGCGGTCAGCGGGCCCGGGGCCTCCCAGCGTCCGCCCGGGGCCCCGCCGGGCCTGGCCGCCGCCCCGCGGGCCTCACCGCCTCCGGACGGTCGAACTTGGCGCGGCGGAAGGTCTCGGGGCTGGGCCCGGCGGGCAGCGCGCGGCTCAGCGCGGCGATGGCCTCGGGCAGAGCCCCCGCCGCGCCCGCCAGGCCCGCCGGCCGCCGCCGCCGCCCCATGCAGCCGGCACGGGCCTTGAACGGCCGCGCTCCGCCGCCGCCGGGTGCCCGCGCCCAATCCCGCGCCGGGGCCGCCTCGGCCGCTCCCGCGCCCAATCCCCGCGGGGCCTAGCCACGCCCCCGCCTAATGAGCGGTGCCGCCGGGGGTGAGTGACGTCCGTCCCGCCCGCTGGGAAGGCACTTCCGGCCCGGCCTGAGCCAATCGGCGTTCACAGCTCCGGGTTCGCTTTGTGCGGCCCAATAGCGGCTGCACCTGACTGCGCGGGTCCAGACCCACCGTCCGCCTGCCCGCCGCCGGGGGTCAGTGGCCGCCGCCCGGGGCACCCCGGCCGCCGCGAGGGTTGCGCACGTGGGCAGCACCGACCTCCGCGACGCCTCTCTGGCCTGACCGCCAGGGGCGCTAGGGCCCCGCAGCGCGCAGCGGACCGGGTGGCGGGGGCCAAGACCGGGCCCTGGGTCCGCACCTCCTCCCCGACTGCTCAGCCCGGCCGCGCGCGGGGCGGGGCGGGGGGGATAGGCCTCCGCCGGGAGGCCAGAGACTCTCCCCCAAATCCACGTGCACACTTCCGACCCGGGCCATCCGTCCGGCCGCCCGCCCAGCGCCTCTGTCCTGACCCCGGGTCTCCCCCGCCACCGGAGAGTGGAGGAGCCTGGAGAGGGACGAGCGGCTCTGTCTGTGCCCGGCGGTGCCGGCCGGAGCCCGGGCACTGAGCACAGACATGGAAGTCCGGTGGCTTTGCTCACCGGCAGCCCGACACGGATCAGCCGGGCCGCGGGCCGCGGGGGCCGCCCGGGGGCAGTGGCGGCGGCAGGTGTCCGGAAACGCGCGTGAGCAGAGGCAGAGCGGGGAGCTGAGGCCGGGAGGGCCCCCGGGCCGGGCACAGGGGACTGGTGGTGCCTGGCTGGTCTAGAATGGACTGGCTGCAGAAGTCTGAATGGTTACAGGCCATCCACTGTGTCCAGGTGCCCTTATGGCATGTACCTGGTCCCTCAAAGAAGACAGCGTGAGGGAGGAGGGAGAGGAGAGGGGGAAGAGAAAGAGAGAAGGAAGTCACTCTTGACCCCAGCCCTCCCAGCCCCAGCCAAACCCACAGAAAGTGCAGACACGCCTGACCCGGTCTTCCTCCTCCTCGTCCTCACTCTTGCTCGCCTGCCTGCCGGGCACCACCTGCTCTTCACCCGCGTTTCCCCATAACCGACCTCCTCCCTCCCCCAGCCTCCACCTCAGGTGCCCTGGAACCCCCATCCCACCTGCCCGGCTGCACGCCCCAGCCCCCTTTACCAGCTCAGGGCGTGCTGCCTGCTCCTGGCCCCAGCACCCGTCCCCTCCCAGGGCCAGCTTCAGCTCAGACAGAGACCAGCACGGGCCTCCAGCCTGGCCTGCCTCCTCCCTCCACAGCAGCCCAGGCCTGGCTGACCCTCTCCCTCCGGCCAGCTCCCTTCATGCTCACCCCAAGGCGCCCCCAGAGCCCGGGGGGCGGGGGCCTACTGCCACCCAGTGCTGCGTGTCCCATCACCTCGGGGCACCCTTCCCTGTGCACCTGTGCCCACTCTGTCCCCTCCCAGCCCTGTCCGCTGAGAACCCAGCCCCAAGCCGCCCAGCCATCCCCTCAGCACCCCCAGCTCCCAGTTCTACCTCCTAGAATTCAGTGAATCACTCGCTCTTCCTCCTTTTTTTCCCTTACGTCCTCACCCAAGAATGTTTTTTATTGTTAATCCTCACCCGAGGGTGTTTTTTCATTGGTTTTTAGAGAGAGGGAAACACGGATGTGAGAGAAACACGTCGATTGGTTGCCTCCAGGCCGGGGAGGAGCCTGCCATTGAGGTCCGTGGCCTGGACGCGAATCCAGCCCGCACCCTTCCATCACAGGCCGGTGCTCTAACCACTGAGAACCCGCTAGGGCCCAAGGCTATATTTTATCGGTTTTCAGAGGGATGGGAGAAAAACATCCATCAGTTGCCTCCCATACTGTACGTGCCCCGAGAGGATGGAACCCACAACCTAGGTACACACCCTGGGTGGGAATCAAACCCGGAACCTCTGGGTGTCGGGGATAATGTTCCAACCAATGGGGCTGCTGGCCAGGGCAAATCCCGTCTTTCTCTGTCTCACCCCACACTGCAGGCTGCCCCTCAGCCCCGCCCTGCCTCACCCCGCCCCGTCCCCAGCTGGTCCGGGCCAGCCCTGCAGGACCCCCACCAAGGCCCTGGGAGGGGGGGGCACTGCCGCTGAGATCACCCCTCTGGCTCTTAACTCAGCAGAGACGGGAGGGGGAGGGGGGGCGTGGGGAGGGCTCTGGGTGGCCAAGTCCGCAGCTGCAGTGATCTGACATGGGAGTTTCCGGAAAGCCCCACTGTCCTGCACTGTCCTCAAATGCCCCTTCGGCAGCGGGCCTCGGGGGAGTCCCAGCACAAGGTGGGGCCCACGAGGGGCAGTGGTGTCCAGGGCAGGAGAGGGGGGGAGGAGGGAATAGGGTTGGGGCAGGAAGAAGTGGGGAGGGCGGGTGAGGACACCACCGCGACTCCCCAGAGCCCAAAACCGGAACCAGCATGAGCTCAGCTGACTCACCCTGCGCCAGCCTCCCTCCCACTCCCACCCCGCCTGGTGCTCCCTGACCTGCTGGCTGACCAGCAGTGCAATGACTGACATTTCTTAAACTTCTTCCAACGCCACTTCTTCAACACAGACTCGCCAGGCCGTGGTGTTCTGTGGAAGAGCCACGCTCAAGGGGCCAAAGAGCTGCACGTGGTTGTGAGCTACAGTTTGCCGACCACCGGCCTAACCCAATGGGCCTGGGCACCTTTGGCCTGAGAGCTGGAGAGCTGAGCCCCATGGGTGTCCACCCCCTTCCCCGAAGAGGGGGCTGCAGCCGGCAGGGGCCTCCAGAGCACCCCGGGCACAGCGTGCAGCATCAGGCCCTCCCTCCACCGCTCCCAACAACAGGCACACACAGGCAGCCTTCCCAGCTGGTTTATTGAGGGCACGGGGTCTGTGGAGGGCCCCCGGAGTTAGGGCCAGGCATCAGCCTGGACGGGCAGCAGGTCAGGTCCGGGGATGGGGCCTCCAGGGCCTGCGGAGAGACAGGGACAGAGGTAGGTGCAGGCTCCGCTGGGGACTGGAGGCGGGAGGGGTGGATGGGGGACCATCCTGAGGGCTAGCTGGTCTGGGGATCAGGGTGGGGGTGTACCTGGGTCTACTTGAAGGTGTGGCTCTCAGCGCCGCCTCTGCCAAAGCCTGCAAAGAAAACAGCATGCCCGTGAGAGGTGGCCAGAGGCCTGGGGGCTGGGTCAGGCGGGGAAGGGGGATCAAGCCTGCGTCAGGCCTGGGGAGCTGGATGGGGGGGGGCGGTCAGGCCTGGGGGGCTGGGTAAGGAGGGGAGGGGGGCGGTCAGGCCTGGGGGGCTGGGTCAGGCCTGGGGGGCTGGATAAGGAGGGGAGGGGGGCGGTCAGGCCTGGGGGGCATACCTTTGGGTCCGAACATGGCGGCGTAGCAGGGATGGTTGCAGTAGGGCTTGCCTTCGTGCTGCAGAGAGCGGCCGTGAGGGCTGTATTCCCCCCCCCCCCCCCCCACACACACACACCCCTGCCCTCAGCCCGCCTACCTCGGCATGGCTCCCCGAGGTCAGGGTCTTCCCACACTTCTCACACTTGAGGCAGGGCCGGTGCCAGTCCTTCCCCAGGGAGGTCACCCGCTCCGCTGCGGAGGCAGGCAGGCCTGAGCGGCTCTGGGGACCAGGGCACACCCTCCCCCCTCGCCTCCGCCCAGGGCCCAGCCAAAGTGTGTGTTTTTAAATGTTTTTATGGATTTCAGGGAGGAAGGGAGAGGAGAGAGGGGGGAACGTCAGTGATCAGAATTACTGATCAGCTGCCTCCTTTGGGCATGTGCCCTTGACGGGGACGAACCCTGGACTCTTCAGTCCGCAGATGATGCTCTGTCCACTGAGCCACACCCGCCAGGGCCCCGGTGGCCTTTGGCCCTCCGGTCCCGGGTCAGTCCACCCAGGTCAGTCCAGCCCAGTGGATGGGAGGGCCTGGCCGGGCCGAGGGCGGCGGCCGGGGGTCAGGAGCCTGGCTCAGACTCTGCACCCTCTGCACCCGCCCGGGGTGCGGCCGCGGGGCGCCCTCTGCGTGGCCGGGGCGCCGCTTCCACTTCCTCCTGCGCCTGAGGGTGGGACCCGGGCCGGAGGGTGGGACCCGGGCCGGAGGGTGGGACGCGGGAGGGTGGAACCCGGGGAGGGTGGACCTGGGGAAGGTGGGACCCGGGCCGCAGCGCCAGGGACGGCGCCCGGGGCAACGGTTTCCGGGTCTGTTTTCACTCAGCGCGGGCTGGGAGGGCGGCCGAACCCCGCGATCCTTCCGCCCCCACCCCGTTGGGGTTCCCGCCCAGGCTGCGCCCAGGAGGAGGAGGCACCCAGACCTAAAGATGGGAGACCCAGAGGCGGGAGACGGAGGTCACCCACGCGGGGGTCCCCACGGCACACCAGGCAGCCGGGGCTGGGCGTCTGCTCCCGGGCGGTTTCCGGGGTCCCCGGCGCCCCCACCCCCCTGAGCGCCCTGGCCAGGGCTCCCCGGTCCGGGCTTCTGCACGGGGCTCGGGGCACCGCGTTGGGCGGGTACGGGGTGCGGGGGGCGCTCACCCCCTTCGCGTACTTGGGGCGCCTGGGCGCGGGGCGCGCGGGGCGGGGTCATGGGGGGCGGGGGGGTGAGGGTTCGGGGTCATGGGGCGCGGGGGGTGGGGATGAGGGTTCGGGGTCATGGGGGGCGGGGGGGTGAGGGTTCGGGGTCATGGGGGGCACTCACCGAAGTACACCTCCTTCTGGCACTTGGGGCACTTGGGCATGTTGGCGGCGGGAACGGCGGCGCTGGGACTGGGTGGGTCCCCGCGGGGCGCTCGCCTTTCAGGGAACCTGGGACCCCGCCTCCCGGAGGTCCGCCCCTCGCGCCCCGCCCCCCGATCCCGGGCCGGCACCCAAGGGCCTCACATCGGGAGAAAGGTCAGC